TTACAATTTATGTATTAACATGGGCAACATAGCATAATTTGCTAAATGCAATTCATGTTTAACTACATGGAACTTTCTGACATGTGCTAATATGATTACATCTTACAGATTTGAAGAATACCAGATGAACAAAAGCATCACAAATGAACCAGAACAGCCTTCAATCTCACAATTTCTGGACATCCATGTAGGGCTTATGTACTTATGTTTCTCTCTCTCTCTCTCTCTCTCTCTCTCTCTCTCTCTCTCTCTCTCTCTCTCTCTCTCACACACTCTCACACACACACACAACATGAGATGAGCAGGGGACAAGACAGGACAGAAACTTGGTAATATGGTACTCATTATAGTGTTATAGAAATTAAATGGCACCACCTTCATTGTTGTGGTTTTCAGTGGTTGAACTACACATGCCAGCACTTTTTGTGCAAATATTTTCAGTTATACTTTTGCACCTTTAGTTTATTCTGTGAAGTAATAAGTTCAGGAACAATCTTCCTCCAAATATGTTATATGGAATTGGTTACTAGTGCAATATAGATTTACAGTATTAGCACTAGTTTTGTAAGTTTTGTTTGTTTCATCAAATGTCTTTTGATAAATAAATGCAGAATTTAGATGTATACATGATCTGTCATATTATTACTCTGTGGTTAAAAGGACTCGAAATTCAAAGTTTAGGACTTTGGACTCGACTTGGGACTCGCCAGTCTTGACTTTGGACTCGACTTGGGACTTGGAGACAACGACTTGAGACTGACTTATGACTTGCAAAACAATGACTTGGTCCCACCTCTGGTATGATGTCACTTGTTTTGTTCTTTAAGCTCTCACAAAAGTTGCATTGGTGTCTGTCAGGTCCGCTCGGCGCGACCTACCTCTTTCTTTTTCCCTCTCCTGCTCCCTTTTTGCGGGATCAACGCCTCAGCTGTGTCGCATCGGGTAATTAGTGAGTCGTGGGTCGGTGCGCACACCTGAGGCATATTCCGGTGATTTGTTGGCTTCCTTATTTATACCTCTGGCAGACGCCCCGTCGTCGCCGGAGCATTGTGACATGTAACATACTATACTTAAAGTAAGTTATACAAAGGTTATGTTTCGCATTTTTAGACGTGTGTAAGATGCTACGCTGACAGTCTCTGTGTGTTTTGGCTTGACCTTATCACGCTAATTATGCGGTTAACAACACAGAAATACGTGCTTTGTCTTCCACGCTGACAGTCCCTGTGCTGTGGATTACATTGTTTACGTTGGTTCTTTTTGTTCACCTGTCCGTTCTCATCCTCTGCTATTCTAGTTCCTGTCGTTAGTTTGTGTGTTTACCGTCCTGGTCTCCTTAGTCATCACTGCCCTTCCCTTGTTGTATGTATTATGGACCTTGTTTTGTTGTCATGTTGTTTTTATTCCATTAAACCACCTTTTTTGTACTAGCACCTGGGTCAGCCATCTTGAGTCCAACCCCAGTTCTCCCTCACCCTCCAGGTGAGGGGGACTGAACCATAACAGTGTCAGCTTATGGAATAAAGTCTGCACTGAAAAGTCTCTTGGCAGCTAGTTTTCCTTCTTTGCTGTTAACAGTTATTAAGCCATACTGTGTTGTAGAGCACACCCCACTGCAGTTATGAATGCTTAGGCAACACAGTAGATTAACAGATAAAATACTGTATGCATGTGTTTTTTTTTCATTTTATATGTGCATGCATACTGTATCCGAGCACAGCACTCTCTGGGGTCAGCTGCTGTGATCCCAGTCAAGTACCACAGAAAAGAAGTAATTGCATATGAGAAAGATAAGCAGGGGAGTGACAGTGAATCTGAAGGGAAAATGCATATAATGAAGAAGAAAATAAGCTGTGATGAGGTAATGCTTTGGCTATGAAGAGGCCCACGTGGGCGCAGGCAGTTGGACACAGGAGGGGAGACAGTGGACTATCACAGTCCCACCACCGAGAGGCCATCTGTGGGTAGATACCCCCACAGTTTTTCCCCCTGCACCTTTCCATTTTAATCTCTGTCTCTGGCCCTGCATTCCTTTACACACACACACCCACACACTATATGTAAATACTAACATTATGTCCGTCAAAGTACTCCAGCATTAGTGAACACCAGTTCCAAAAATTCACACAGTAGCAGTTTGTATTATCGTTTGATGACATACTGTATTTCCAGTGTAGCAACATATCTTACTGTGAAACTAAAAGAGTTCTGTAAACATGAATGGACTGAGGAAATAATGTGGCGTTAGATGAATCCCCACAGTCAGTGCCTTGATGACACACCCAACAATAAAAAGTACAAGCATTTTCAGCAAACAACCCTTGCAATATGCATGAACAAATTTTGCTTTGTTCAAAAATAATACTGGAAAAACACTCACCTCTCACTCTGAGCGTTGGCTCTGCAGCGATACACACAAACCAGCTTGCTTCAATAAAGTTGGAGCATCCCAAGAGTCTGGTTCCCCCGTTACCTTCAGTTTTATCACTGCTCATCTCCCTCTCTTTTCCCCATCGCGTTCTCTCTCTCGTGCTCTGTTCCAGGGAACCCCTGTGTTCAAGCAGACGTTTAATCGCATCACGACCATCACGGCCCTTCTGTTCTCACGGCTCCTCAACCCCCTGCTGTATTTGTTTCCCCTCCCTCCTCATCTTCTCTTTTATCACAGATATCACACATCAGATGGTAAAACTGAAACGCCCCATCACAAATGTAACCTTTACATACAAAAAGATCTGGCAGTTTTTGTATACAAATGACTCATGATAGCTAGCATTACTAGCAGTTATGTCATTTTGGTATCTGTTTCATGCCAAACATTGAGTTTGTGTGTCAAAAGAATTCCTCCCCATACACCCAGACTTTCATGCAGTTGTCCAAGTCTTGCAAAACAAAACTCTTCACATGCACAGTATTGGTGGCTATATTTTTTATACACTGGATTCCCAGGCCTCTTCCAGTTTGCACAGGCCTTTTATTTGCTGACTACTAAATTACCACTACATTCATTTAGCTCCTATTTTTGTTTGAGTTTAACAGAGTTGTTAAAATGCTATTATACTGTAAGATCTACACCTTACTGTAAAGTGCCATGAGATGATTGTTGTGAACCGGTGCTATATAAATATGAGTGAAATGAATTGATCTGAATCGAACTGAAAATAAATGGCTAGCATTCCTTTAATGTGCACTTCAACAAGGCAAAGTTCAACAAGAAGAAATTATTGCAGTTAATATATTTGTTGAAGTTCTGGTGCAGCTTATACCCACTGCAGACAACTCATATATACTATATGTGTGTGAGTGGTGCTTGGCTAGGAGAAAATACAATAACACACAAAAAATTACATTTCAACAGTTTTTATTTCCAAACAGTTTGTATTCTAAGTTATACATTACCCATTTACAGTAGACTATGGATTTTAAATATCGTTCTTCAGCAAATTTTTAAACATTCTGGTATCATTTTATAAAACTTTTTATAATAAAGCAAAAAAAAAAAAAATCATGTTGGTAACTGAAAACCTTTCAGCCACCATGTGTTGTCATTACAAACATGAGCTCATGGAGTTCAGCCTGTCACAGGTCAAATACTACTATAGTTCAATGCATTTGTTTAAACCAAATGAAGTAACAAAAATGTTCTTGAATAAGAACAAAAATGTGAGTTTTTAACATTCTTTCTCATGACATATCATGTAGCCAACTCAGTAGTTATGTCCTGTCCTTCCCTGATTCTTCCCTCCAGAGGACAGATCACCAGCGGGGCGGTGTTCTTCCCATTGTCTTGAACACAGGGATTAAAGTATGGGTAGAGCGGCTCAGTGAAGGTACACCCGCTGTAAGTATAGATGTGAGTCTTTGCTTCTACATCATAAAAGGACACCAATCCTCCCTCATAGTCCAGGAATATGCCAACTTTCTGGGGGGTTTCCTGGAGGTGGAGGGGGATGGAGGGGCTGGTGCAGGCAGACAGACTGCTACCTTTACGCCTGCAAATCACCCAGTAACCGCTGTCAGGACGAACTGTGATGGCCCCCTTTCTGTTGATGGACTCCCTGGCCACGCCAAGATCCCAGTCTGATTTATCCCCAACCTGAAACACATAATGTATAAAATACTGCATTAAACAAGGAACAACAGTATGAGAGACAGAATAAAACACACTTTTAATTCAACCAGCAAGCTGGTTTTCTTTTGTTGAGTGCTTTCTCATAATGAAAATGTCAAAGTATCACAGCGAGATCACCTATGCTTAAATTTACTACATGCAAAACTTGCAATGTTGGATTTAAAACTAGAGATGATACTATATCTTGTGTTTAGTGTCTATAGTTGGTGGTGAAAAACTATGATTCTCATGGTAGTTTGACAGATTTAAAGAACACACTAAACTGGGTTTGTTTATGTGTACTGCTAGCTTCAAGTGTATTAGCTCTTACATGAACCACCCAGTAGCTTCTTCCAAATGTGAAGCTTTGTTTCCCCAAAACACAGACGCAGGAGTCGAATCTCTGAGGGGTATCTGGGAGTGGGGTCTTCTTCTGGGAGCTGAGGCTCACTTGTGGGTCATTATTATTATCATTACCATCATATCAGACATTAGCCTACTTAGCAACACTGTCACCATCATTGCAAGCATTACCACTTGCACAATCAAACCATTAATTGCTTCATTTTGGGTCCCATTGCACACAGTTCTCACATGGTTTTTCCAGTCTTAAAGGTAGGATTGGCGATTCATTCAGAAACATCTTTTGTTACGTTTCATCCCGATGGCAATTAAAGGCTCTATTCTATTCTAAAGCCTCGTCCGGTTCTTTCAAACCAGGAACTCAGAGGGACGACTCAGACCACTTGATTATATAAAAATATAACCGTGCTGGTTTATTCAAAGAGGCACAGGCAAGAATTAACACTTCAAGTCCAGAGATCTTCCAACCCCCAGGCTGCCCAAGCAGCCCGGAAGCAGAAAAGACCCC